TGTCAATAAGCATCACTGATGGAGGATTGACGATCGAGCAAAGGGTCAGCAAATATGAGCACTTGGGCTCCGTCCATGGACAGGATCACAGGGCCTCAGTAACCCCCCTCCAACCCTTATCTGACTATCGATAGTATCAAATTATTATTATTATTAGATAGTTAAGAAAAGAAAAAAAAAGTATGTCTGCAGCCAATTAAACGCTTATTACACTCCAAACTTATTATTATTGCTCTGTACGCATAAAATCCACTACGATATTCTGCACTATTGCTTGGACTCCGCTCAACAGATATGCCCACTCATGCTGTTGCAGGCCAGCAAGCCAACTCGTGCTGCAATGTCATCCCAAACCACCAGAGTCAGAAAAAACAACAGAGAGACGAATTCACTCTGTAAACACTGCTCCTCTGCCCCTTTTCCGCTACTAATATTAATGACACAAGTTCCCTCCATCCAACACAACTCCACCCCATCAGAACCCTCGACAATCCTCGATAACAGGTGGACGGATAGGCCCTTGCCCCTAGCAGGCTGTCTGCACTCGAGCTACACACCTAGAGCCTCTCTATCAACTCAAATCCAACATCTCCCTGGTTTCTGTTCCTGGCCTGCGTTCGAACCAGCAGCTCGTGCCGAGTCAATCAGGACTGAATCGATGATCCTCGATAACAGGGGCCCTTGCCCCTAGCAGGCTGTCTGCACTCGAGCTACACGCCTCGAGCTTCTCTATCAACTCAAATCCAGAATCTCTCTGGTTTCTGTTCCTGGCCTGCCTTCGAACACACAGCGGTTCATGCCGCGAGTCAATCAAGGACTGCAAGTCCAAAAAGCCCATCTGACCCTGTTCTCTTCAACAGGGGTGTTATGAGCTTGCACTAAGAATCATTTGCACCGGTGAATCTAGTGGTGAAATTGAGATCCACTATTGAGAGTGGTGAAATTAAGATCCACTATTGAGATCGCCTGACCGACGGGGCCTCGCCCAGTTGGTACACCCAGGAACTGTTGACATACCCAAGTTCGAATCCAGTAGAATAAAATCATTCTGAATTGAGAATCCACTGTGCACGGTGATCTGAAACCGGCAAACCAAACATAAAAGGGGAAAAATGAAACGAAGACTTGTGGTCATGCCACACTGGATGCAGATCCACTGCAATTTAGCACAAATGTGTGACGACAATGCGGATGCCGCCAGACAGAGCAAAGCAGACACATAATACATGCTCTGCGGCCACACCGGACAGGCCAAAAGATATGCACATCAATAAATTTCCTAGAATGCATGGAATCTGGTCTGCATTGTACACACAGCACAGCTTCATGCGACTACTCGAGCGCGGAACGGAAGTCCCGCAAGGAATACTCGGAGGGCTGGTACCTACTTACTTACTGCCTTTCCCAACACTCTGGCAGGAACCAAAGTCCCAAAAGGAATACTCGGAGGTCTGGTATATAGTAACCACCTCTCCTAACTCTGGTCTGAACCGAAGTCCTCGAAGGAGTACTCGGTGGTGGGCTGATACTCACTAACTGCCTCGCGTAACTCTGGTCCGAACCCAAGTCCTGAAAGGAAGGAATGCTCGGACCTACCTCTCCCAACTCGGGTTGGAGCCGGGGAGTATTCCTGAGAGGAATGCTCGGAACTACCTCTCCACACCTCTGGTTGGAACCGAAGTCCCAAAAGGTATACAGCTGGAACCGAAGTCCCAAAAGGTATACAACTGGCAGTTAGTACCTGCCTCTCCCAACCAACGCTAGTTCAAACGCAAGTCCCGAATAATGAATACTCGGAACTACATCTCCCAACTCGGGTTGGAAACAAAGGGATGGTAGTTAGCAACTGCCTCTCCCAACTCTGGTCGGGACCGAAATCCCACAAGAGAGGAATACTCGGTGGGCCAGTTGTGAGCAACTGCCTGTCCCAACTCTGGTCAGAACCACCAAGTCCCGCAAGGAAAACTCCGAGGGCTGGGAGTTACAGACTGCCTCTCCCTACTTTGTTCCTCCTCACATTACGCACATTTTGAAACAACAACCAACTCAGACTCCATCCGCAGCTGATCCAATGAATGGATTGACAGGCAATCTTGTACAGTCTGACAGCAGTCTTGCCTCCTCCTCCTCCTCCTCCTCCTCCTCCTGCT